CCAGTCATCGCTGGAGGATCGGAGCGGGGAGGGGGGAATCCCTGCAGGGAGCCGTGAGTGACAGTCACCACTCTCTACAGAGACATGATCGAGAAGTGATCGAGTGACAGTATGTGTTCTCTCACTTCCCGATCTATTGAGCCGACCTGTGACAGTCTCATTGTCACACGTCGCCCCGAACTAGGAGGAATGAACATTACTCACCTCATAGTTCTCCTTTAGCAATGCAAGTATTCTTTTTATATTGGTATACATCTACATGGGATTGCTTGTTGTTTTCCTTCAGTACATTACCCAGTACTCCGTTGGACACATTGTTGCGTACTTTACTCTGTTAACTGATTCATTCATAATAAAAAGAGTTACAATTTTTTTTAATACGAAATTCGGATCCGGAATCCGTTAACAGAATTCGTATTTCGGATAAAAAAAACAACTACCACTCCAATATTAACAAAGCTATTTTGCTTTTTAACTTCATCATAACGAATGTTCGTATAGTTACGAAAATATAACCGCCACTAACGAAAATTCGTATTTCGTACAAATCCGAATTGAGTTCAGTTACGAATTACGAAATACGAAATAACGGATATTCCGAAACGAAACAGAACTAATTTTTTGACGGCGCACAAGTCTAAATTGTATTGTAATTGTAATGTCTTCCTTACATTGTACAGTGCTGTGCACACTGTTGGTGCTATATAAATCCTGTATAATAATAATAATAATAATTAGGGATGCACCGATACTAGAATCAGTATTGGTGCCGATAACGAGTATTTGGGACTCGTACTCGCCCAAATGCACTGATACCTTTCCCGATACTAGAACTTCCGGTCAGAGGGCGATTTCCTCTGACCGGCAGTGCCTCAAGGAAAGATTCACAGGATTTATGAATGAGAGCGCTGGGCAGTCTGTGTATGCGCAGTGGCAGGCTGAGCGCCGATCACGTGGGCGCTGCACACGGGAGACGGGAGATCTTGGAGAGCGCTGGCCGAGGGACCGGTATGTTAAAAGAGAACTATGAGGGGGATGCTTTTCACTCACCTCATAGTTCTAGCCGACCTGTGACAATGAGACTGTCACAGGTCGGCTCAGTAGATCGGGAGGTGAGCGAACACATGCCGGCGTTCGCTCACCTCTCGATCCTGTCACGGCTCTCTGCCGTGACAGGGGAGGGGCTTCGATCCTCCAGCGCTGACTGGTGGAACGGACGGGGGAGGGGGCGGGTACAGCTGGCTCTGCCTCTAGATAGGAGGAGCCAGCTGTCAGTCACGCAGCTGGGCGGATCCCGTCATCTACGTCGGGATCCGCTTCAGCTGCGGCGTCTCAGTATACCGCGAGCTGTAGCTCCCTATATACTGAGCTTAGGGTGACGGGAGGACGCTAGTTTGTGTCCTCCCGTGACCCTAAGGAGAACTATGGGGAAAAACACTGACCCCATAGTTCTCCTTTAATGAATGCGGCCAAGGATCCATGTGAGGGGAATTAGGTGCCAGGAGGCGGGTCGTGTCACCATATTGTCAGATCTGTTTGGCCGGCCTCGACGCCGATTGGTTGGGCCAAACAGAATGTAGTCGGCTTCCCGTGCAATTAAGAAGCCTTCCTGATTGCCCGGAAAGCCGGCTCTAATAATAATAAGAATAATAATAAGAATAATAATAAGAATAATGTATAATGATTTGGTATTTTTTGCCACCTGAATTTTTTTGTAGGTCACTTTGAACTTGAGATTTCCTATGTTAGAGATTTGAACGTTTAGCACCAGTGGACTTTTGCGGTCCTCGTTTCTGCGCACATCACAGTAGAAAAATGAATATTTTATTTAACCCTTAAACCTTTTCCTTAAAGTGGATCCTTCACCCCCATTCACAAAAAATCACATCTGCACGCAGCTCTGCATCCTGATTTAAAATCATCTCACATTCATTTAACTAAACAAACTTGTTTTTCAGTTGCTTACAAATAGATCAAAAAAGAAGTTTGGACTTTTCAAGTGACATTATAGTCAAAAACTTTTTTCCCTCCCCCCAAGGTTAATTAAAGCACTTACCTTAAAGGAGAACTATGAGGTTAAGGCTTTTCCCCATAGTTTTCCTTAGGGTAACGGGAGGACACAAACTAGCGTCCTCCCGTCACCCTAAGCTCTCAGGGAGCCGTGACTGACAGTCACTTCTCTCTGCAGGGAGATCGAGAAGTGAGTGAGCGGCTGTATGTGTTCGCTCACCTCCCGATCTACTGAGCCGACCTGTGACAGTCTCATTGTCACACGTCGGCTAGAACTATGAGGAGGAGTGAACATCACTCACCTCGTAGTTCTCCTTTTAACAATGCAGAATACTTGCATTGTTAAAGGAGAACTATGAGGTGAGTGATGTTCATATATATACATGTTTTATATTGGTATACATCTACATGGGATTGCTTGTTGTTTTTTTCTCCAGTACATTACCCAGTACTCCGTTGGACACATTGTTGCGTACTTTACTCTGTTTCTGTTTAATTCATAATAAAAAGAGAGTTACAAATCCCGCCTCAACCTAACCGCTCAACCATCACATTCTCAAACAATTCATCCCCCACACAGCTCCCTCCTCATGTATCACTGGCCCCTTCCTTTTAGATGGTAAGCCCTCAGGGGCAGGGCCCTCCTCACCATCTTGTCTTGAATTGTATTGTGATTGTAATGTCTTCCTTATATTGTACAATGCTGCGCAAACTGTTGGCGCCATATAAATCCTGTACAATAATAATAATAATAATAATACTTTAAAAAGATTTGGTATTTTTTGCCACCTGAATTTTTTTTAAGTCACTTTGGACTGGGGAGTTTCTATGTTAGATACTTTGTAAATTTAGCACCAGTGGACTTTTGCGGTCCTCGTTTCAGCGCACATAACCGTAGAAAAATTATTAATTTTTTTTTCAACCCTTAAACCTTTCCCTTAAAGTGGATCCTTTACTCCCATTCACTAAAAATCACATCAGCGCGCAGCTCTGCATCCTGATTGTAAAATCCATCTCACATTCATTAGTTTCATAAAAGATAACAAATTTTTTATTTTAAACATACCTAAAAATGCGTGGTTTTAAAAGGAAAAGAAAGAAGATTGTCTTAAAAAAGACCAAATGATGGAGCTGCATCCTCCCACAATTTTGACATGACAGTACTTACTACAATTTACTGGATATCAGCTTTCTTGTTTTATTGTAGTCCGGTGGGAGGATAACAGATTTCTATGCGTCGTACGCAAACCTGCGCCTGCGGGGGACGGATGATTTTCTTCATTTGTACTCAACATACCTCCGCCACGTAGGAAAAACAAAACGCGTAGAATATACGATCATGTAGACTTAAAGGAGAATTATGAGGTGCGTGAAAATCACTCATCCTCATAGTTGTAGCCGATGTGTGACAATTACACTGCGGCAGTCCAATAGTGTATGACCAATCAAGGTGTTAAGAATGGACTGGTGTTAAGGATGGGCTGGTGTTAAGAATGGGCTTGTGTAAAGAATGGACTGGTGTTAAGGATGGACTGGTGTTAAGGATGGACTGGTGTTAAGAATGGACTGGTGTTAAGGATGGACTGGTGTTAAGGATGGACTGGTGTTAAGGATGGACTGGTGTTAAG